GCTTTCTAATAGCATATTTCTCCTTTAGGGAATATAATATTCTGTCTTTTATAATATTTTCCAAAATATTTCATTCTTCTAGGAGAGGGGTGGGTGCTAACTTTCTACATGCCTTGCAGAGCAGGCTAGGCAAATAGCCAACACTAGCAATGTGTACCTGTTTATTCACTTGTAATCCATTTCTCTCTAATGAAAGTAAATACAAATACATGGTGTGTCCTTCCCCCCCCCCACCTTCCTATTTTCCCTCTTCCAATTGTCCTTATTCTCTTTTGCCTGTTCAGATATCTGGTAACATTAGTGCACCCCCTCCTCAAAAAGCTATCCTTGAATCCAACAGTTTTCAACAACCACCAACCAGTTTTCTATCATCCCTTCTTGGAAAAGTTTGTTTAGCTGATAGTTAGACTGCATCTGATTAGAACCTGGAGGAAATGGATTATCTAGAGTAGGCCATTTCAGTGCAGGGCTGGCACACTTCAGGTTCCTTGTTTAAATAATGTGATCTATTGGGACCCTAAAAGTATACCTTTTCTGCAGCAGTGCCTGCCCTCTGGAATTAGATTTCTTCCAATATCTGGATGGCCCCACTCTAGTGTTGTTTAGAAGAGCCTTGAAGATAGTATCAGTAGAAATAAGTGGCTTCGGTGCAATCCCAAAACATCGGGAGCATCACTTGAACACCATTGACATTGATAAAATCACCACCAGTCAATTGCAAAAGGCAGTTATACTTGGAACAGCTTACATCTTGCAATGGTACTTTAGCACTATCAAACAGCTGTCTATACCAGGTCCTTGGGAATCACTCAATGTGGATAAAAATACCAAATCCAATTTAAACATCTCACTGACTATATAACAAACCATCACAATTAATAATCATAAGCAATTATTATGGTTGGTTGCATAGTCAGCAAGATGTTTAGACTCAATTTGGCATTATTATCTACCTACTGACTCCTTTCGAAGGAGTTAGGATAAGCCATTGTTGTTTGATAGTGTTAAACATATTGTTACAGAGTGAAAGCTGTTCCAAATAAAGTTGCCTTACTATTGTTTGTTATTATTATTTGTGTCCAAGGAATTGTTTTCAGCCTTGATAGACGATGACACAAAATGCTAATATATGAAGGCAAGCTACTAAAATAAGCAATCATAATAAACAGAAATTGAACTGTAGATGTTAATTCTCTTTATTTTTTGCACTAGTGATTCTACAGAGTTACAAAGCCAGAATGGAAAGTTTAACAGATTGTTGGTATTAAAGAAGAATAAAGTAAGTACGGTAGACTTTTGTCAACTTTGGGCAAGTAAGTATGAAGCATCCATTTTATTTCACTGCAAGAACTTGATATTCACCAGTCATGAGCGTGGAAGGTGCAGACCTTAAGGAGTTCTGTCACAAGAAAACAGAAAAAAAGTAAGAATTAAGAGACAGAACTAAATAAATTGTTCTACAATAGTGCAGAGTGGCCCACAAACTCTTTAATCTTTAGGAAATGTAGTTAGAATCTTTTCCTGTATTGACTATTCCAGGCCCAGCTTGAATCCCTGCCGTCCCAAAATACCTAGAGCTTGTCAGGTTGGGAAGGCTGAAGTATGGCATCTCTTAAAACAAAACTCGTGTGAAATGGGGGGGAGCGGTGAGAGTATAAAAATATCTAACCACTTGATTTTTATCTAACCATGTGTTTAATTCCACATTCCTCTACAAATTGTTGGGAGCATGGAAACAAAAGAGACATATTCTATAGATAATGAGACTGAAAAAGACCTTCCAAAAGTGCATACTCTGCATCATTAAAATATCATCACTGTAACTGTTTTAAATTATTCCTTAGTAGTGTTAAGTTCTATTAATTTTTTTTAAAAAAGAAACAACAACCCTGCTCCAATTGGCTTCTTCTCCTTTATCTCTGAAGAACTTAACAGAACAGTTAAAAAATGAACAAAAGAAAGAAAACTTTATTTAGCATTTATATACTGCTTCACAGTGCTTAACAGCCCTCTCTAAGCAGTTTACAGAGTCAACATATTGCCCCCAATAATCTGGGTCCTCATTTTACCAACCTCGGAAGGATGGAAGGCTGAGTCAACCTTGAGCCTGGTGTTTGGAAATATAGTATATTATAATATTTTTTACAAGCCTAGATGTTTATGAAGGATCAGATAGTCAAAAGTTCCAAATCTAGTCTGAGTTATCTGGTAGACTGCTTGTAAATTAGTATTAATGTTACTTTGTGTTATTCATTTACATCTTTAGTTTTTAAGTTAAATTACAATAACAAGCTTGTGTGTGTGAATATATGTTCCTTGAAGTCATTCTTGACTGCTGGCAACTGCCTGGATTAGTCCCTCCAATTTTCTTGGCAAGATTTTCAGACGTGGCTTGCCATTACCTTCTTCCTGGGGTTGAGAGAGAATTGGTCCAAGGTCACCCAACTGGCTCCATGCCTAAGGTGTAGCTAAAACTCAAGGTTTCCTAGTTTTTAGCCTGATGCCTTAACCTCTAGACCAAACTAGTAGTATAAAACTATATTGTTAGTGATGGGAAACATAAACATTGCCAAAACAAGGTACAGTGTTAGTTACAATCTAGCAGTGTCTGGAGAGGGCCTCCTGCACTTTATTTTACAGTCTGTCAGAGTTACATTTATAACCAGTTTGAAATGAAATTTCTACCACTGAAATGGATGAATGCCATTCATCTTAATCTAAGATTGTTACCTGAAGATGAACATTTGGCGAATCCTTCAAGAGACTGCAGATATTCCTGCCCAAGATATTGCTCAAAGGTTTTTTCATTTGGAACAGCTAAGCATTCTGTGCCATCTTTGAACAAGCTATCTTTGGCTTCAGAGTGGAACAACTGGAAGACATCTTTCTGCGTTCCCTGTTTTCCAAATAGTTTCTGTAAAAATCAACAAAAGCAGGATTTCAGTAGTTATCATAATATTTAATAAATACGGTTGTTTCCAGTGAATGCATAACATTTCTTCTTTTTGGTACTATTTCTAACAGGCACAAATAAAAAGTACTATTTGATACTTTTTATTTGTGCCTGTTATTTCTGAAGGAATTTTATTATTGGAATATTATACTGGAAGATGCTTCTCACAGGGAACTCATTACAGGACAACTCACCAGGGCCAACTCGCCATGAGACAAGAGTTATACTAATATCAAAGAAACGGTGGGATAGAATCATTAAGTAAAGAATACAAAAAGAGGGAACAAATTGAAATGTGATTGACAAAAATTAAAATCATTTTTAATTATTTCAAATAACTAAGTTGAATTCTTGAATTGTCCCATGGCAAATTTGTCCCGTGAGAATTGGCCATGGCAAATTGGCTACGGTGCATTGGCCTATCAGAGCTGATAAACATCTCCCCCATGTGTATATGTTATATAACTTTACTATTAAACATAACAATCTCAATTCAGAGCTTACCTGTTGCTCAAGTGCCACCTTTTTAACCGCTTCTGCTCGTTCAGGTCTTGACACCACTGCATGATTGCAAACTTGGGCCAAATGGCATCTTTGATATTCATCAGGACGACAACGTTCACCATTTTGGCTCAGAAGAACAAAATCAGAAGAAGTTACGCCACTTGCCCAAGCAGGTCTGTTCTCTCCTATAAAAATGATTAAAATTATTAACAAGAATAAGGACTCCCTGCAGCACTATGCATTTATTTTCCTTATTATCCCTACTCCATGGAAAGGGAAGAAAGGACTTTGCCAGCTGCCCCCCATGCCATTTCGCATCCCACTGGCAATACAGTCTATATGACAATGTAGTAGTTTCAAAGTTCTTTGGAGTGGTGTGTATACATGACATTTTGTCAGCATGTTCATATTTATTTATTATTGAATTAGCATAAGGCATATCATACATGGAAATAATATATATAGCTACATGCAAGAGCTATAGTATGCAGGCGAATGGATGTGTAGGCACTACAGAGGGGTGGATGCATTGTGCAAAATGCAGGTGGCACAATGGCACGTACAATGGACATGCCCTATGGAGTCTGGGCAGGATAGATGATGTTACAAAGTGTTGGTGGGTTAGCAGCCACTGTGGAGTGCAGATGGGTGGTATGGGAAGATGCCCACTACAAAGAGCAGGTTGGTAAACACATATTATGGAATAGAAATCCCCATGCCACCCAGGGGTTCCTGGGTGGGAGCAATGGCAGAGTGGGAGCAATTGCAGGAGTGACTGGGGACCTCCTGCCAGCTTCCTCATTGACTTTGCTTTGTGGGAAGCCAGCAGAGAAAGTCACAAATAGTGATCATGTGGCTATGGGCACTTTAGCCATTGTAAGTGTGAGCAGTTTGCCAAGCACCTGAATCATGATTGTGAGGACTTTGAGGCTGATGTTTGAATCTTCTTTATCACCAAACAGTTGCTGAACATGTGGTTACTAAGCAAAGACTACCTGTACTGTTTTCTTTTCCATGAACTTATTAAAATTAATCCGATCGTTCAAACTGAAAATTTGAGGGGAGACAAAGTATTTGAGGCATGTAATAATGCGAGATCTTTCTTTTTTCTGTGCTGCTCTAAGAGTTCCAAGAACACAGATGCTTGGATTTTCTGCCTGAATGCCCCAGAATCACTAGGCCAACCTTAGTATTCTGCATCTTGACTTGAATAGGTGTATTCAACTTTGTCTGGTACAACTCCAGCACAAAATGAGCTTTCCAGTATTCTTATTCTACTGGATGATGCTTTCTAATGCAACATGATTCTGGATCAATGTTAATTTATCTTATAAACATTATCATTATATTATAATCATTTTATTATAATCAACATTATATTTATTAAATTATATTGCATTGCAGTGCATTATTATAACCATTCTTTTGATTATGCCTGACAAACTTCATCAGTCAACTATTTCTCAACTATCAACTATCATAAATAAGATGATCAACAGTTATGTATTTATTTGTATGATTCCATACCTTCTGTGACCTCAGTGATGGTGGTATGTTTAACAAAACCTACGTCTCCTACTTCAATCACGCATCTGGAAAATACAACCAAAGAAAAAAGGTAAGTGGCACATTTCACTTCTTGCCTTGCATAGGTTTCTCATCTGAAAAATTATTCAAAAATAATTAAAAACAAATATTTCTGCACTGTTTACATTGCATTTTAATTTGGAATTAAGAAGAATTATAAATAGTTGTGAACTGAAAAAGTTCTGCCCTGTTTATCATATTACATTAATATACTTGGGATTACTTTTTACATGTTAATATAAAACATAAAAGCTTTTAAAAGCTACATATAATATATGCTTATATTGTGGAATAACAGTGATCATTATACCACTAGGTGGGGTAGTAACTGCCTCTAAAGAGGACTTCCAATCTAGTTTCCATATCAAGGCTTTGCCTAGTGTGTGTGTTACAATACTTGTAATAACAATAAAAAAATATACTAAGAATGTTCATAGGATCCTGTGCAGAGCCTCCACTGACTGATACACTACAGAATCTTGTATCTTCACAGGATTCTCAGTCCAAGGCATTACTTAAAATAATATACCATTTCAGACCAATTATTGTTTTAACAATTTCATTTCCCCATAATAAGAAAAGAAAAGAAAAGAAAAGAAAAAAGAAAAGAAAAGAAAAGAAAAGAAAAAAGAAAAGAAAAGAAAAGAAAAGAAAAGAAAAGAAAAGAAAGAATATTTTTAAAATTGAGTAGTAGGCAATATTAAGGCAATATACACTATGGTTTGGAATTGATGTGCTCTGAGATTTCCTTTGGAAGAATTCTGGAAATGCTTCGGTAATTCTGAAACCTCTAGATAAGCTTTTCCAAGATCAGCTTCATTCACATGTTACATTTTCTTCCCCTATTCTGACTTGTATGAGCCATCTGAAACTGTTTATTCTCACAGTTTACTCATTTGTATTTACTATCTTGGTCGATTAGACTTTTTAATTCCCACAAATATATAACAGAATAAGAGAGTTGGAAGCAACCTGAGAGGTCTTCTACTCCAATCCCCTGGTCAGACAAGAAACCCTATCTCATTTCAGACCAATGGTTGTCCAATCTCTTCTTAAAAACTTCCAGTGTTGGAACATTCACAACTACTGGAGTTGTGTCCGTTGTTCCACTGATTAATTGTTCTAACTGTCAGGAACATTCTCCTTAGTTCTAGGTTGGTTCTGTCCTTGATTAGTTTCCATCTATTGCTTCTTGTCCTGCCTTCAGGTGATTTGGAGAATAGATTGACTCCCTCTTCTTTGTGGCAATCCTTTAGATACTGAAACACTGCTATCATGTCACTTCTAGTCCTTCTTTTCATTAAACAAGACATACCCAATTCCAGAAACTGTTCTTTACAAGTTTTAGCCTCCGGTCTCCTAATCATCTTTGTTGCTCTTCTCTGCACTATTTCTAGAGCCTAAGAACACATATAACACATAAATTTTATTATAGGCTAACATCTACAGGAAGGAATCCTGAACTGGAGGTGGAGAATGAGGAATAATCAACAAGTGTCTTCTCATTCATCTATCATATTCCAAGAAAAGCAACCTACCGAAGAGCACCATTATACCCATAGAAGATTTCATTGCTGTTAGGTTTACATTTGTATTTCTGAGTCAGGGCACCATGACCACCGCTGCCTTTGCATAGTTTGCACAATGTAGACTCAAGAGGTGCACCCGGCGCACAGCTTTCTCTGAAGAATGTATCTAGCATGGGATCAGAGAACAAACATTTTAATACTTTTATATATATTATTATAACATACTCCAATTGGTTGTCGTGTTGGATTTCAGTTTGCATAGTCCCCAGAAAGCATGGGAAATGCATCAGATTGGGTGATCTAGGTCTAGCAATCCTGTAGTTGTAATAAAGCTAACTATTGACAACTAGATCTACAAAATCTGGACCCAAATCCAAAATATTATTATTGGGAAGCATGGCCAGCTTAAAAATGCCAACTTCAGAATTCTGGTTTTTCAAAATATGTAACTGACTATCACATTACAAATTAAGGAACTACCAACAGCAGGGTTCCTCAAGAGGAACCCAGAATTTGCTCTCAGTCGTATTAGGTTAAAAAGAAAAAACTGTGCTGGTTTTTTCCAAAGAATGACCAGCTCCAATAAAGAGGATCAGTTGCAGAGGTGGTTACCAGTTTATCTGCTGGAAAAAGTGCATTTTGTGATTGGTAATGTTAAAAAAGGTAGCCATTTTATGAAAGGCAAGCCTTCCCATTGGTAGCCATTTTGTGAGGATACATACAAACATACCTTCACAAATCAGAAAGACTCTGGGAGCACCTTATCTGATTAATAAATTTTCTGAGTAATAAAAGCCTATCATAAACGTATATATCTCTCCTAGCTACAATTGATATTTTGAGATATGTCTAACAGCACCCCAAAATTATCTATATCTGCTCAACTGCATTCTTCAAAATGTGAACAATGATAGTTTTTAACTGAGTGCTCGTGCTTTTAATCAAAAAAAATATTAATTAGCATTCACTTTAGCCATCTTTAAATAGTATGGAAGGTGATGTGCCAGAATTCTCAGAAATATAGCAGTTAAGGCTCATCGTTGAGAGAAAAAGGAATCAAAATGTTTATTTTTCATTTAATTTTCATCAGGGATTTTAGATAAAAATTGAATTAGGAATAGCTTTCATAAAGTTCATTTGCTTTCTGGTGTTCCATTTATTCCATAAATTTCAATGCAGCAGTCCAATGTTGCAAGATTCTTTTGCACTCCTGTATTATCTTAGCAGAATGCTATTTTAAGGACTGACATATACATATCTTAAGAAGCATTTTGACTTGGGGCAGGGCATGCACAATGTCTTATTTAAAAACATTTTGAATTTGAGTTTTTAATAAAGGTTCATTAAATCTCTAGTGCAAAATGACCTGTTTTGAGTACTTTGGGGAGAGCCTGAAGCTCAAAGTAAAACATTTCACCAAAAATGTGCTCAAGACATTTTAGATCAAACATTTTGCATGCCCCTAATGTTTATGTTACTTTATTTTTTAAAAAAACTAAAGAAGAAAAATTAGTGATAGTCTCTGAAACATTATCAAGAAATGAACATAAGGCCTATTTCCATTTATAGCCAATCATTTGTTCTTTCTTCTTTTTCCATGCAAAATGCTTATTTGGGGTGGGGGTGGAGAGACATAATTAATGCATAACCCTTTGGTAACCCTTGGAACTACAGAAGCTGTTGTCCTAGAAGCACTGAATCCTTTACAGCAGTGTTTCTGAACTTTAGCAGCTTTATCACGTGTGGACTTCCATTCCAGAATTCCTCAGGCAGCATGGTTCAGAAACACTGTTTTAGAGGATGGGTGGGGTAGTAGTATAAAAAACATAAGCAACCATATGGACATAAAGCCACTCACCAAGGTTACAGCTAAGATTATACTGATTGTTAATGAGGCCCATGGGAATATTCCAGCCAGCAGTTCTACCAACACCGGTATGACAGGAGGTCTTTCCTCTCAGAGTGGTCCAGTTGATCTCAGCGTCACGTTTCTTAGCAACAGCTACAGCATAGTAGCCTTTAGCTGGAAAACAAGAAGCAGACTCAGCATTTCTCCACTGACAATTCAAATAATCTCACAGAAGGTAGGCATGGTCCAGTGACTCCTTCACATCTTTTGCAAACATTTAAAGAGAAAAGAGTTCACCTGCGTATAGGAAACCTAAGTACAGGTAGACCTCAACTTACAACTGTTCATTTAGTAACCATTCAAGGTTACAACGGCACTTTGAAAAAAGTGAGATAAGACCGTATTTCACGCTTATGACCGTTGCGGGGTCTCCATTGTCACAAGATCAAAACTTAAACGCTTGGCAACTGGGATCACGTGATCCCCCTTTTGCGACCTTCTGACAAGCAAAGTCAATGGGGAAGCCAGATTCATTTAACAACCATGTTACTAACTTAACAACTGCAGTGATTCACTTAACAACTGCAGCAGGAAAGGTCCTAAAATGGGGCAAAATTCAATTAACAACTGTCTCAGCAACAAAAATTTTGGGACCAGCTGGGGTCATAAGTTGAGGACTATCTGTATTTTGGTCATAAGTTGAGGACTATCTCTATTTTCTCCAAAAAGAGGAATTTTCTTCAACGGATTAGGAAGATTGGTACAGAAAGATTTGACCAAGTTTTAAATTGCCAAATAAAGGCTTAGATGCTTGCAGATCTCTTAAATGGCAATATATTCACCATAATTACCTACCTGTTACACCTTTCTTGGGATCGACACAGGCAGAAGAATCTTCAGCTGGAAGAAATAAAAGTAAAAATAGGATTTGGAGAACTCACTTCAAGCTCAAGCACATTTCATCTACCTTTGTCTGGACTACAGGAAAGGTGTCTTGTACAAATAGACCTAAAAGCAGATAATGCCAAGCATATTTGCAAAATAAAGGACACCATTATGGAGTGCATGGCATCTGAACTCAAGACATAATGTCTATGATCTAGGACTGATGATGCTGGTGAACAAAAAGATGGACTCAATTTCTATCCATCCTCTTACAATTTTGCAATGGGCCATGCATATCACTCTTTGTGGATGAGGTAAAAGTATTAGATCACTTGGTGAACATGACAATGAAAAGGAGGAAAGATCATGCTTCAGCTATGATCCAAGAACAGTAGGGAGGACTGAGGTCACTTGGAACAGATTTTCTTCCCTTCAGATCAGATGCCTGAACACCTATGTTTTTCTTAGTCTAAAGCACAGAGCTAAAATGGCATGCCCTCAGAAGTCATTTTCATGCACATAATTATGGCTACTACCCTGAATGCCGTGGGATTGCTTTGAAGACTATATGCTGGAAGACTAGTAGACTCTGTTATGCAGTTGGATAGCCACATGGAGATAAACTACTGGAATACATGGGCCAGAGTCCTATATAACAGGTCACTTCTTATATACTTACAACAGCTATTGATCTACTCAGTTCATACTTACGAGGGATTTCTGTCAATACTGGGACAAGGCCACATTTTCCAGCAGTATAGATATGCCCGCCATCCAAGGTAATGGCATCAGCTTCTCTTTTCTGCAAAGACCAATGTATTTTATATCAGCAAACACATTTCCTAATATTACAGGTTACAATTCCAGTCAAAATAAAATAAGCGGAGAATTTTTTTTTTTTTAATTGATTTATATGCCGCCCTTCTCCGGAGACTCAGGACGGCTTACAATGCGTTAAGCAATAGCCTTCATACTTTTGTATATTTATATGAAGTCAGCTTATTGCCCCCACAAACTGGGTCCTCAATTTACCTACCTTAGAAAGGATGGAAGGCTGAGTCAACCTTGAGCCTGGTGAGATTCGAATTTACAGTAATAGCAGACAGCTGGTGTTAATCACAATGCTATCAGTCTGCTGAGCCACCAGGCCCTGTAAAATAATGGAGAGAGGCTCCAAACGGAGAAGATAAAAGTTAAACGGACCACTGAGTATGTTCCCTGGGAACAAATTGGCACTGGTATTGAGGGCAGAGACATCACCGTAAGTGCAGAGGTAAATCATGAATAGAAGTATCAACTGTCCTCATACTGGTAGTCTTTAACTATTTCAATCATTCCCATCTTAGAATTATAGAATTTTATAATTCTAGAGGTTATAATTCAACATATCTGTAGAATCTCATGGTGGGAAACACTACATTATGCACTCAGTGCATTGTTGCAGAGGCCTCTTGCCCAGTATAAAAGATTCATAACATGGGATTCCTTGGATATATTCAATTAACATGTACCAGCAAAATCACAAACTTCTTGTTTATTTTACTAGTGTCTGTTTCATGGATTGCACCTAGTACCCTTGTTTTTTAAAATATTTTTTCAACTAAAGTGCCTGGACTCAGTCACTATTTTCATGTGAAAAGGTATGTGGAAACTTCAAACACTTACTATGATCTTGATAAGGCAATTTTCCGTAGTTTCTGCAACCTCACATTCAACGGCACCATTGCTCTGTGCACTCCACATATCACATTTTTTCTTTTCAGCCTTGCCCACTGCACACCACACAATTCTTCCTGTGGTATCAGGATCTGAAACGGGTCTCTCTAAAGGACAAGAAATATCTCGGTTAACCAAGTATTCAGATTCCTCAGAATATTGCAGACTAATTGCTGATATAAGAACCACTGTAACCTTCAGTGTACCATCTTTATGCTCTAGACTCAAATAGAGCGGAATGGAAGAACTCACTGCAGCAAACTCACCACAGCAAATTCACCACATCAACTCGCCACGACCAACTCACCACAGGACAACTCACTGTGAGACAATTCAACAATTCAATTTAATTATTTAAAATAGTTTTAAAAATATTTTAGTTTTTGTCATTCCCTCCTTTGGCATCCTTTTTTAATGATCCTGTTCCACTATTTCTTTGATATTAGTGTAACTCTTGTCCCGCGACAAGTTGTCCAGTGGCTAGTTGGCTAAGGCAAGTTGTTGTAGACCTGGTTATTATTTATTATCAGTTCACTATAGGTGAAATCACAACTGCCGGTTCTTTAGCTGTTGTTGGCCTTTATATGCACTGATTTCTTCCCAAGGACCTAGGTTGTTATAATGTATTGATTTTTCAATTCTGCCTTACTTCTTAATCTTATTATATTATTATTGTATAAATAATGATATTCAACTGTCTTGATTTTTATAAGGAGAATCAGAAAAACAGAATTGAGATGGGAAAGAACACAAAAAATGTCCTTTAGAGGCTTTTGTTCTAGAACACTAGTATCCAAGATATTTAAAGGGTCATTTAGCCATTTTAGAAAAATAGTAGAAATTACATTTATATGACACAATTAAAACATAGCTGCACTAAGAAAAACTTTAGACCTCGTTATTGTATCCTTATTTTATTTAGCATGGAAAGGTTTCTGTTCTAGCTCCCAGATAATCCAAAACAGACTGCCTGGCTGCTGGTGGTACAACATTTCTACCTCAGGTCACTTGAAAAATTGTTATTTATCTAGCATATGTCAACTTGAAAAAAGGATTAAATGGTATACCACTGTACTTTTAAAAAAAGCCAGGAAACTGAAATAGGTACTTAGCAAAAGGAGGGAAAAGAGCTTATATATTGTATGTGCATTTTGATGCTTTAACCTTGTACAGGTAGTCGTTGACTTACTACCACAACTGAGCCCAACATTTCTGTTGTTAAGTGAGACATTTGTTAAATGCGTTTTGCCTCATTTTACAACCTTTCCTGCCACAGTTGTTAAGTGAATCACTGCAGTTGATTACTTAGTAACCTGGTTGTTAAGTGAATCTGGCTTCCCCATTGACTTTGCTTGTCAGA